CTTTCAGAGCCGGGATCCGCGTCCCTTTATCGACTCCTTTCACCGCCGCTTTTTTCCTGTTTCCCTTTCGAGTCCCGACGCATGTTTAACAACTTCAACCCCTTGCACAAGGAGGGGGGTGCATACGGAATCGACTGAGAACCTTTGAACAGCACTTTGCGCGACCCGGCTCCGTCAATTAGGAGGAAAAGGGAACCCGTTCTGTTCCGTTCCGTTCTGTCGCTCTTTGAACGCCTACCCCCCCACGTCACACGCCCTCTGGATTTCTCTTAACGAACGAAACCTTCTCTTCGTAGATTTACCGAGAAAAAGATTTTCTCAAGAATTTTTGTGTACGCTTGAAAACTTGGAAAGAATATATCCAGGGGTGTGCGAGAACCCGAAAATGTCGGGGCGAGAATTTATCTCGGGATCGGTTCGGGTGACGGAAAGTATCTCGTAATTCGAGAATCTCGAGATTCTCGAAAATTTCGGGATTTCCGAGAATTTCAGGATTCCCGAAAGTAGAACGAAACTATTATCGGAGAACGTTGAAAACCTAACTTTTCTGCACGAAAATATGAAATAAATCATATCTATCACATATTTGCTTACCATTTTCGTTCCATGTTCTATTTCTTATAATTTTATAATTCTCGAGAATCCCGAAATTCTCAAATTCTGAGATACTTTCGGGACCCGACCCGACCCGAGCATCAGGTTCACGACATTTTCGAGAATTCTCGCACACCCCCTGAATATATCCTTACTTCTGTGAAAGAAAGCATCGACACTTGTACCACATCGTCAGATCGAGTATAAATTTTTAACCCTTTTGCTGCGGCACATTTTAGCAGGTAACGTATTCAATTATGTAGGAACCAACGACGGAAAAAATATTGACGGACCTAACCGGGAATCGAACCCGGGACCTTCGCCTTAGCAAGCCGAGACTTTGCGCGCTACGCCAACAACTCCCTCTCTATTCTCCCGTGTCGGTTTCCTATTTTTGGGTATGGAGGCCCCGATACTACAGTTATTGCGGTTGCAAAATCTCTCGTTTCAGCATTTTTTAATTTTTTCAAAATTTTTAAATTAAAATTTTTAATTTCGTTTACTAAGTTAAGGTGGAAGTGCGTAAATTAAAAGGATAGAAATTCAGGATTGAACTGAAGCGAAAGTGTGCCCAAAGGTGCCAATGGCACAGCACGAGAAAATATTCAAAACGCCTATAGCCGCCAATAGCAATGAAAGGGTTAAGCAGGATACTTCTGGACAAATTTTTTGTCCACGTCATCTAGTAAACTAATCCTTCTACCTTCTCAAAAAAACTCAAGTCGTTTGGTCCAATTTAAAAAAAAAAGTTATTTTGTTTCAAAGGGTGTGCCGATAATTTATTGTCCCACTATATGCGCTGATTGTCCGCAAAGGTTAAGAATTAGCGTGAAAACGAATACTTGAGTGATTAACAATGTATTAAGCTTGAAAAATTAGGACTAAGTATTTTTCCAGAAAATTCGATTTACGAATTACGAAGCTTCATTTAGTATGAAACGCAGAGTCGATAGCCCTTCTCTAAATCCTAGTATAAAAATGCAAACTCATCGCATTAACCTGAAAGAATCATAAATGGACTATGTAGCTAACAATTACCTTGAAAAAATTGCCCGGCTATTACTTTCGCAAAAGCAACGTGCAGAAAGTAAGAACTCGAAGTGGCATATTGTACCTAGCACACAGAGTAATCAATCATTTTTCTAAAGGCTTCATTCTTCCTCGTTTAAATCGATTCCTTTTGGTTTGCTGTTTTACATATGGGCGAAGGTAAAGGAAAGAAGAAAATTGCCATAAGCGATGAATTATTTTACATTACAATTGTTTAGGTTAAATGATTCTGATCTTTTTCAACTTCTTTCTTTTATAATTCTGCGAAGATAGAAATACTATCACAAAGTGATCACTATCAAGCTACCGTAATACATACACGATGTACATATGTATATTTGCCAGTTACCTCGAGGGAATTTGGGAAATCGAACTAGCTGGATTGATATTCCCAAACGCGCCATATAGGGAATGAAGTAGCTTTTCATTCGATGCGTTTCGAATAATTCAAAAACAACAGAGAATAGAGAAACGTTGTCAAATATCCCGTTTCTCTGAGCACGTCTGTTTAATGGATGAGCAGCAAATATACAGAGTATTTCACAATTACAAACTAAGTTTTATTTCAGTAATTTCCTGGCATGGAATTAATTTTTTTCGTTGCCTTTATTATAAAGTAACTTATAAATAATTTATAAAAATAGTTAAAAAAAAAAAGCGTAGCAAAACTCTGATGAGCAGCAGTGTATATATCTAAGCATAGAGGGTTGCTCGACGCCAGGGGTCCAAGTTCTACATATTTCAAGCTTTGTTACAAAGAAACAAAGCCTAATGAAACATATCTTTATTAGACAAAAAGTATTCCCTTTACCATCCTCTCATACTTTTTGTCCAATTGACCCACAATTTTGCTATACCCTGTATATGCGTTCTTATCTCTCCCACCGTTTGTCTAGTTAATAAACGATGAAGCGTGTCTGAGCCATTAAGCTCATAAATACTCACTGGAAACGTGTCTCCGAAGAAAGCTTCCGTATACTAAGCAGGGAACAAAAGCGACGAAAGCTCGTCGCGTGCATATTAAAATTCATTCTTTAGCGGCGAACGTTAAGGAAGCATCACGAGGGAGAAAGAGAAAAAAAAATGAAGTCACGGTTGCGTCTTATCGTAATGCATTATTAATCCCTCGATGACGTGAAACGTTCGAGGAAAACTCCATTATATCAATGGGGGTAGCCTTGCTTCGATGCGTAATACCATTAATGGAAAAGTGAAAAAAAAAAGGAGGAAGTAAAAAAAACTGAGAACTCGACGATTGTTAGAGGGTTTCAGAGCTCCGTTTAACCGCGATTCATTAATCAACGACAATCTTTACTCCCCGTGCTTAATTTACTAAGCTTATCGAGCATCGTCCTATCGACGCGGACCCATCAGTTCACTCTACTGAATAATTAAGTGAAAACCGTAATTGCTCTGATATACTGGGTGTTTCTGGAGGAAATGCCCCTTTTCTGTGGAAATTATAGGCAAAATAAAGTGAAATAAATAAATATTCTATATAGGGACATCAAGAAAATATGAAACACCCGGTATACATTATTAAAATTTAAGAGAGAGAAGAGAATTGTCAATGAAAGTTCCCAATATGGCCGCCACTCTCTATTACGCAAAGCAGCGTTCACAGAGGTCGTTAATATTCTGGCTGAAAGAAGTATAATGTACTTGTAAAATCTGTCGTGAGTTCAAGTAAATATATTTCAAGTGTCTTCACAAAAGGAGTTGATCGAAAATTCCGAAATTTCAGATGCTAAGTGTAAGAACTTTAAATTTTATTCAGGCTTACACGAAGAACATAACCTCAAAACTTTCTTCTTCAAGTATACTTCTTCTACCTACGTAGAATACCAATGTTGTTTGCTGCTATGATAGAATTTTACCGTGGATCCTCGAGTATGTTTCTAACCTATCAATTTGATCAAGTTAGTTGTGACTTTCAAGTCTGCAATTGTCGTAGTTTCTTCTGTATTATCTGAGTACAATACAGATACAATTTAACATACACGAGGACCACATGTTAACTGATCTTTCGCGCCTTAAGAAAATTTCATTCAGTTCAATGTATTCACTCGAAGAAAAAAATTGAAAAAATTCACCTCACGTCTTTCACAGAATTTTCTCATTCCGTTTTATCTTCCTTCAGTGGAGTAACTAAACTTTACAGAGACACACAGTAGTACGGTCCCTTCACTCTACAGAAACAATAATACTACGGCGGGATCTTCGATTTCTTTTAATGTTTGTCCCGCGAAAAGTGGAACAACGGTGTGGAAAGAGGAGAGGAACGAAGAGGGTCGTAAAACACGTCGAAATTCGACAATGGCTCTGGTGAGCGATTAAAAACGTGCTCCGTGTTGTAAACACGAAAGAACAGTGTAGTAGTGGGATCGAACGATAGATGTCACTCTGTGTGTGCCCATAAAAAGCTACAGGAAAATCCTTGCCTGCCCTTTCGACGCCGCCATTGTGGATTCTACAATGACAAATCATAAATATTATCTTTAAATGCTCGTTCTTTCATGGATATTGTACAACGATAGATAGCCACGTAAAAAGTGTCGCTGGCTTATAGAAATTTATAGCTAACCATAGAAAGAGCAATTACTTACTGATAATAAGGTATTGAAACAACGAGTGTTGGGTTGGATTTATGATGTACTAAATGAAAGACGATATTGGAAATTCTTGCGTATTGTGTGGAGCGTCATAATTCTCGAGACGATGGGGCAAGTTCGATAACGAATTGATCAAAAAGGACTGTTAGAATCCATTATAAATCTGACCAGTGAAAATATGAGAAAAGGTGAACGTAGAATAAAAAATGTATATTTTGACATAAAAAAATAATACAGACACTTCGGCTGAAGTTACATAA